AAACTGTAATATTTTAATATAAGCTATGATCGATTTCCTATTTGATTCTATAATTTAATTGGAAACTTCTTCTAGAGTATAGTATAGTTCTTTTTCTTGCTTTTTGTTTAAATAATTTGTTATAAGTGACGTGTTTTAATTTAAAAGACCTATAATAATTTTTAACATCTATGCAAGTTTCTGAAGCACAAAACGACAGTTTTCCGACTGTATAATAATATTAAAATGTTTAAAACATATATACATATACCAAAGATCATGCATATCCAAATATATTTTAAAAATATAAACAAAAGTATATATTAGTCGAATTTTCATTTAGTCACTGTGCTCAGTGTTGTGTTAGATACTAAATGCGAGTATATATATAAGTTACGTATATCTCGGGAATGTTTGCATAAAAATTCTTTTTCCTTGAATATGGTTGATAAAACCCATATGTAGATATGAATAATAAAAAATAAAAACAAAAATAAATGAAAAAAAAGTACTCGACTTTACCCCAGATGGGACTCGAACCCACAATCCCCGGCTTAGGAGGCCGATGCCTTATCCATTAGGCCACTGGGGCTTGAGGTTCTCGCTGTCAGAATGCGTATACGAAACGTAGGCAGCTGAGAACAGGTAAAACAAAAACAACTAAGAACCACTATAAATAACTTTTATTCCATTTCGTTTTGTGGCGAAAACAACTGTTTAAATAAGTTCTCTTGTTGTTTCGAAACTTGGTATACAAACATAAATATCAAAGCAAATATTTGGGTTATGTTTACGGAAAAACACATGTGAAGGCTATTGATGTGGGATAGGTTTTTAGTAAAATAACCTAATATTGCATAGATAGTTACACGTTATATTAGCAAATAAAACATATTTATTTTATAGTGCAACAATATATGTTATTTCATTTTGAATATTCTTGTATACTACTACTGTTGCTTGTCTATATTTTACTTTACCAGCACACGAATATCCACAAAGGCATCAACAAATATTTCCACCCCGTAAATATTTCAATGAAAATAAGAAAAAACATGTTCTGTGTTTGCTTTTCTGAATATTTATCGGCATTGCCAATCCACTCACTCTTGTCTTGCCACCCCTATGCTTAAAATAGCATTTTGCCGTTTGGTTGAACAAGCCCCAGTGGCCTAATGGATAAGGCATCGGCCTCCTAAGCCGGGGATTGTGGGTTCGAGTCCCATCTGGGGTAAAGTCGAGTACTTTTTTTTATTTTTTTTTAAATATTTTTTTTTTGTTATTTGTTGTATGCTGTATTAGTTCTTAGGGTAAAACCACTTATTTTTGGTATTTTGTGTTCTTTTTTTCTGTAATTTGTTTCTGTTTATAGCAGGAATCTATGTATATAGTCCATATTTGTTAGTAGTTTTTATACTCTTGCTGGGTATTATTATTTAATGCAGATGTAATATGCTTTTATAATGGCAGTGAATAGCTTTCTCTCTCCCTCTGTCTCTCTCTCTCTATATATATATATATATATATATATGTATGTATATATATGTATGTATCTCTGTAGCTGCATTGTGCTTTCTTCCTATATATTTCTCCCTCCCTGTTTCGCTGTGCATCTCTAGAGATATCCCTTATTCTCTATCTCTCTTTGTGTTTCTCTAGAGATATCACTGTCTCTCCCACTCTCACTTTCTCTGCTCTTCTCTTTCCTGTCAGACTATAAATACAGGCACAGCCATCGTACTGCCCTCATTCAGTCCGCAGTATCCCCACTGTTTACATCTATAGTGACAGTGGAAGTGATAGTGATTACCCTTCGACCTCATCAATATCGCCTATCCAATGCAATTTGCAGGCATTTGGATAACCAGAAAGAAGTCGATGATACAATGGAAAGGCATGAAGTCACCAAGAATATAACTCAATATGTTTAGTTGCAAATTCTTAACTAAAGCATCTCTAAGATTTCGCTCCTTGACTTGAATGAAAGCTCTCAACTATGTATTTGGCAAGCTATGTTAGAAGCAATGCTCCCATCAGACCAGATTATCGGTGTGCCGCTCCCAGATGTTGGGCCACAAGCCGAACATAAACCATGAAAAGTCGTCACAGCAGTTGACATTTCGTTGTGCCACTTCCACTTAATTTAACAACTTTACGAGTGCCAGCCATCGTCTTCTAATATCGTTTTCAGGCATTTTCACCCCGGCTCTTAAATGGCAATCAACTTTCTGATGAGTTGTCAAAAACGCCGTCGCCTGACATTAGGTAGATGTGGATGTGGATGTGGGTGTGGGTGTGGGTGTGGTGTGGCGGTGGAGTGGCTTCTCCTGAAATCCATCCACTTTAAAAGTTTGCCAAAAATTGCGGCTCATAATTTCACTTTCGCTATCTGAAATATGCATGGCCGTAAAATGTTCCAACGCCGACCAAATGGCCACCCAGGGAGATGAGGATGCACAGGGCATCGGGTGTGGGTTCTGAGGCGGATAATGGGGCACTGGGATGCTGGGATGCTGCTCGGATGTTGGGAGAAGCAGGTTAGGATGGGTAGCCTTTGCCAAGAGCATTAAAATTGCATACAGGCTGTGTGGGGCCAAAAAAAAAAGAATGAAATACTAAAAAATAAAACTCTGCCCCGCATAGTTTCATTTGCTTTACGATTCAGCGAAACTTTTGGCCGAGGATGCGCCAAAGGAGGGATAACAGCGGGATGTAAGGCCGCCTGCCTCATCATTAATGTAAATTCATTGTTGCATGTTAGCAGAGGGGCAGGGGCAGAGTTCTACTCTACTTTACTTGCCTGCATTACAACAATTCATACTGAATTTTTGATACGAATCCAACTTTCCCACGTACGCATAATCCATTAAGGAGAGAAATGGGGTCACTCGAAGGGCTAGTACCTTAGGGACTCTTAAAAAAGCCAGCTTTAAAAGAAGGAATATATTTTAGGTATTTCTACTGCGAAAGCAATTAGAAATAGTAGAGATAGTGTTGATTTATTTTCTATTAATTCCAAGTCCAAGTAAAGGCTTTCCACATAATTGTAACCATTTCTTTCATGTGTCTTCGCCCAGTTATATATAAATATATATTTTGAAATAGGGCTGCCATTACATACCCATTAGGTGCAACTATTCCCTGGCCTGTGCTGAGGCAAAAATTCCTTCTTTTCCTGAATGCCTGAAACTTTTCCGCAGAATTAATGGCAGGAGCCATCTTTTTGCACCCCGCGGAAAGTAGGCCAAAGTCCGGGGCCGTCGACCAGCTGCGAGAAAGGAGTGTGTTTGAGGGGCTGGGGGGGCATTCCGGAAAGTTTATGGAATGCATTTCTCTGCAGATTGCATTTGTTGCATTTTACTTAATTGAAAAAAGCCTGCGATGCGGTGCGGGGGAAGGCCGTAAAAGGACAATATCGCTGTCCCTAGCCCTCTATGGGCTGCCCGTGCCTGTGCACTTCATAAAGCTGACAGGACAGGGCCCGAACCGAGCCAAGTCGGCTATAAAAGAACATGACCAAAGCGGGCGAGGACGAGGAGACAAAAAACACACACCACACACACCAAAATAGACCGCCGCAGAGGCACAAAAAGCATCTGCAACAAGCAAACGGCAAACAAACAAACCAAAATAACAACAACGAGCCGCAAAAATTATCTACTCAGATTATGTCGAGATTAATTACATACGCTGAGCGCCATTGTCTTGTCAATAAATTGTCGTTGTCGTCGACGTCGCCTGGCATCGTCGTGTGGCCCCAAAGATAAGAGGGACTACCGAAATGTTAACTGGCTTTTCTTTTCTCCTCCTCAATTTATATACTCTTCCGGGGGAAGGGTATTATGATTTTGGAACCAAAAGGGTAAAGCTTTCAATCAGCTGCTATCTTTCCAATACACAAAACTACCTTCTGCTTTAAGAAGTACCTCTAAAAGAAATATTTACTATAATGCTTAAGTGATATATATTTTAGGGTACTTAAATCTTTTACCAATGACAATTTCCATGGTTGTTTTTTTTTTTGGTAAATTTTTCGCCTGTTTTGCCGTTTTTCCTCCGCTTTTTGCTTTTCAAACGGAGGCTGTCAAAAATGGTTGCTCAACCCGGTAGCTGCAGCCAAGCCCCTCATCCTCGTTGGCTAATTAATTTAGAAATGTTGACGGGCCCACCAAAGGGAGCGCCACATGGCCAAATAATAATGAAATGATATAGGTTTAATCCGGCGATAAGCATCGGGCCGCATCTCTCTAAGCCAGAGTGCTTGCAAAGTGCGCGTAAATTAATTGGCCACAAAGCGCGGACCATGCAACTGCTGGCTCAGAAGGCTGCCGCTGCCGCTGCTGTTGCAAGTTTATGTGACTTGGCAGCAGCGGCGGTGGTAAATGTGGTTTCTGGCCAAGAGGCCCTCAGCTGGATTTAGTGCATGTTGAGCGGTGAATGGCCAATGTAAATTTTCCAACAGCAAATGCCGTCTTGGCCCGGCCCACGGCCCAACGAGCATGGGCAGGGCTAATTAGAATGGATAACACGATATTGGCATCGTTGCACCGCGAAAATATTGCCCGCCATAACTCCGGATGAGTGTTTGTCCATGTAGCAGATGAGATTTGCAGATTGCGGAAACGAGGAGAAAATATTGTGATTGGAAAATTGGGTTCTTGAGGCTGAGAAAAATCAGTCTCTCCTGGTAGTAAACTAATTAGTTTGATAATAAATATATCTCTATAGTGTAATAATCAGTACTTAAAAATCCCCTCAAGGTATATATAAATTTCAATTTTGAGTGTAATAAGTATATTTAAAGTAAAAGTTCCCCTTGCCTGTGAGTCACTTCTCTGATTGTGGCTCTTATCGATGCCCAATTAAGTTTCCATAGGATTCCACTAACCTTTCAGACGAGATAGCCTCTATCAATTTATATTTCTAAGTAAATTCGGTAATGGTCAACGATAAGAACTAAGGAAAATTGATATAAAAAGACTGCTTCAGTGCCATGAGATTTCAGTTTCAGTTCTCGTTATCAAAATGAAAGCCATTTGCTTCGTTCTAGCCGCGTTCTCGTTGGCCCTTATTTCTGTAGCCAGTGCTGGAATTGTAGAGGTTGAACCCTTTGCCAAGACCTATTCCTCCTGCAAGTCCCTGAACCCCAAGAAAAGTGGTGTACAGAAGATCAAGGTGGGCAAGGACACCTTCGAGGTGTACTGTGATGAAACCATTGCCGGAAAGGGTTGGTTGGTCATCCAACGTCGGGTCAGTGTCGAGGAGAACTTCTTCCGCAACTGGACTTCGTATCAGTCAGGTTTTGGTGATCTGAAGGGCAACTTCTTCCTTGGACTGGACAAGCTGAACAAGATCACTGCCCTGGAGCCCCAGGAGCTATTCATTCAGTTGGTGGACTTTAATAACACATCACGATATGCCCAATACGATCTGTTTGGTGTGGGCAATGTGTACAGTAATTACTCGCTAACGCAGCTGGGTAACTACCATGGAACTGCTGGTGACAGTTTGAGGTACCATCTTGGTCAGTCCTTTAGTACTTTCGATAAGGATAATGACCAAAGTATGTACAACTGTGCTGCGAAATATACAGGAGCTTGGTGGTACAGGGATTGCCTGGCAAGGTGAGGATTCTTAAGGATTTTGGAGTTTAGAGTTCTATAACTCATTCCTGATTATTTGCAGCAATTTGAACGGAGCCTATCTGGGCGGTAATCATACGGATCCTGATCTCTATGGCGCTGGTATTGCTTGGGGAGAGTGGAGAGGCTTCTCCTATAGCTACAAGACTGTGAACATTATGGTGCGACCTAAATAAATAGTTCAGATAATGTTCTATTTACTTATAATGAAGAGGACAAGTCTGTTAAATGATTAACAACACCTTTGCCAGTATAAACTATAACCCAAATTAAAGCGCGAATACACCTTAAGCGAAGGAATTTATTAATAAGTGACTATACATTTCACACAAGCAAGCAATTCAGTAGCCAGGCAATGCTAATTTAATTAACAAATATTTACTGCCGCATTACTCATCATTACTAACACATGACCAGGAGGGGGCGGTGGACAGAATCCCTTAACTCTGCATAGTTGAGTGCCTCCCCCCCACTTTTAGCCTGAATAATTATTTACAATTAAAGTTCCTGCTGTGTCTGTGCGTCGGTTGCCCAAATGAATGCATTATGCCATTGAGAGTTTAGTGCCAAACAACTAAGGATATATGTATATGCTTGTCTCATGCATTCGGGATTTACATACATCCAGAGTGTGCAATGATGACGAGGACGACTGCCAAAGTGAAAGTTTCCAGGTTCACTCTATTCTGTTTGTTTACTGGAGAGTTGCCCCGAAGCTGTGCATATAGAAATTCCATTACTTGGCAAATCATTTCGCAAGTGCAACTGGGATGTTGTTAGTTTACTGCTGATATTTGGTGCACTGAAAGAAAGTGTATAGTAAGATTCAGCCAAAAGGAATTCGTTATCTATAATCGAAATAATTTAATTTATGCAACTTTTATACCTTTTCTCTGTCTATTTAATAGTCAAACATTGAAATATTTTTATATAACATAATGTAACTTTTACTATTTTCCCCATTTCTCTCTCTGCATATCCATCTATGGACAGTGTGACAAAGTTTTCGGTGACTTTCAAGCTATTTGCAAGCCACGCACTTGATCCCCTCACTGAGCCATGCACACTCACACTCACACAGCTCACGTAATTTCCCAGGCGGTTACCGTTAGGCACTTACGAAGAAGGAAGAGCCGCCATTTTGCTGGCGGCCATTTTTCGTCTAGCGTTTCCGCCATCGCGTGCCGCCTGAATAATTGAGGCCTCAATGGGGCAAAGATGGATAAGGGCCTGGCTGATCATCCAACGTCTGGAGTAGCTATTAATGAGTTCCCACTGCCTCTACTATATGCATTATATATATATATATATATATATATATATATATATATATATATATATAGATGTGTGTATAAAATGTATGAGGAATGTGGCAAGTCGACCGCCCACGTCGGAGTTGACAAATAAGCGCTTAAGTAATTTGCCACCGTTTGCGGGGCGGAGTGACGAAGCGTGGGCCTTTGCGAGCCTCACAAGTGAATATTAAATAAATTTTCCAGTTATTGCCTGCGTCGTCTGTGGCGTGGCACCCCAACGGGTTAACCAAAGACAGGCGACGAGGGCTGCATTCAACTTGTAATTAATGTCAAATATTTACACATTCGCCGGAGATCAAAGGTCTCGGAGCCAGAGTGAGTCTCACAGCAGCCGGGCTAATTAAATGAGTATTTATATTTAAATTACACAAAACTACTTAAAGGGTTTTTGCTGGGTGATGTGATGGAGCAGGGCGACGGCAGTGGGTGGATTATTACCTAAGAACAGCTGGCGGCATTGGCAGAAAATCAACCCTTCTTGGCATCCCACATGGTTGTGGATTATTTCCTGAGGCGAAAGATGTCTCTGTTTTATACGTAATACTTTTTTAAGCCTTAAAGCTATGAAGAACTGGTTCTTAATTAGCTGAAATTATGATAAGCATTTGAGATTTAAGCGGCAGCATTTCATTAGCTTATAGATCACTTTCCCTAATGCAAAGTGCCTTTATCCCTATTGATGTTCCTGCTAATTTCCCCCCCAACTTATATCTTTTAGACGCTGCTCAAACTTTGGCTGCACAAAGCGCGCATAAAGTTGCAAGGTGAACTTGCCACCATAACTCCTTGCAGTGCCTCGTCCTTCGTCCTTGGCCAGCAATTTGTCGCACAATTTAGCCGGCATTCAATTTGCCTGGAACTGCCAAAGTCGGTACTCAAAGGCTCTTCAGCTTGTTACCCCGGCGCACTCGATTGGAGGCATTCAAATTGGTCTCTCTCCCAGGCAGGCAGCTGAGGGTTAAGGCCACGGGGTAGTGTGTGGGTGAAAGGGGGTTAAGGCCGCGCTGCTGCTGCATTATTTTGAAAATGCACTCGCGCCTTAGCGGAGACAAGAACCGGCGGCACAACCATTTCCAAGCTTACAGAGCACACAGAGCTCGTGTGTGTTGTGTTCGGGGAAAAACATGTGGGAAATGCATGTGTTCTACTGCTGTTGTTCGGCAGCGTGCAGTTTGCAGTGCTGGGGTTTTTCCGGCCCCAAAAATGTCCTTGTCCCTTCCCGGACTCCGGCGCTGTTGCGGCTCTGTTAGCGGTGGCCGTTACGGAAATGTTGGAGCGCACGAAATGCATTTTGTAACCCAATTTCCTACTTCCGGTGTCTTTTCGGCCACCCACACTGCACTGAGAGAAGTGAGAGCGTGGGAGAGTGAGCGGAAATGAGCTTGGCCGGAAACGGAACCCACTCGCTCTCTCTCTCTGTGTTGCCACACACATGGGAGCTTTTCCACACATGCTCGGCTGTGTGTGTGTGTGTGAAAAGCCGAGCGGCTTCGTGGAGCTTTTCTCGGGTTTAAGCTGCAAGCTTTCATCATTTGCATTCGGACAGCTTTACGGCCAACGTTCTAGGCCTATTTCCCGTAAAGGAAAATTATGGTTGAGGAAGGGTATGCGGGAAAGGATATGGTATAGGATATGGTATAGGATATGGTAAAGGGTATGGTAATAATATATGGTATAGGATATGGTATAAGAAGTTGAGTTTAATTTGAAACATTGTTGAAAAACAGTTTTCTGTTTGGGGAAATATATTTCATGATCAATGTCAATAGTTCATATTTTTTAACAGCTCTCTATATTCCTTCAGACCTTTAGAATTATAAATATATTAATTATCTTATTTGGGATATAACAAATAGAAATTTAAAAATATTTTCTTTTTATAATGTTCTCTTCTAAAACTTTCACAATTGTAATAATAATAATCCCATACTTTCTTGTTCTTACAGAAATAAAATTTCCGCGTCGCCAAAAAGTATGCCATGATTTTGTATATCCATTTTCATAGGTATAAAACAGTGAGTTTATTTGCCTTTTATTAAATTATTTCCATATATTTATGGCACTGTGCAACTGTTTCGACCAAGTGTCGCATTATAATGCCGCCAGTGGCCGTGTTGCCACTTTGATTGATTGGGTAATGAAGTTATTAGATAGGTGTGACTGTCAGGCGGTGCGAGATTTCGATTTCGAGTGTGGCAGCAGCGAATTAAGTGCCTCATTAGATTGTTATGATAGCTACATATGTATATGTGCATACAGCCAGGTGGGCGGTGGCACTGCAGTGTGCGATAAGTGCAATTAATATGCAAGCGAATGAATGATTGAGTCGTAAACTTAAATTTTTTCCCATGATTAATGGCGACAATTAAAGGGTTATTAAATCGACAATGGCACAATTTTAAAGGGGAATTATTTTTGTGAGAAAAGAGTTAGTTAATTGAAGTAACTTTTGAAATAAAATATGTATTTTTATTGTTTTCCTACAAATATAGCTCTACGAATCCATTAACTTCCTAATTACTCACTAAATCACCCAACTTTCCCCCATATCAATAGCAATTTTTCTGATCTAGGCAACTTTCAAACTTGGCAGGAATAAAGTAGATGAGATGACCTCATACCAGGCCAGGCATTATTCCGTTGGCTTTCCCATCGGTTTTGGCCTAAACGGACCAGACCAATCCAATTTCGAGTTGAAAAATATGATAACAGCCGGGTCCGCTTGTCACTAATGCTGACAAGGTCACATTGTCAACGTCACTGCGCGTGCGTAAACCAATAAAATTTGTCCAAAACGGCCAAGACAATAGCCAAATAAACAAAGGCCAAAGCCAGGCTAGAGTCGGGGGATTTTCCGCAGAGATGGCAGGAAGGGGGGTTAAAGCCGCGGTAATGGGGCAGATACATACGGCCAGCTAAACTGGCTTTAATGATTCAATCCCAAATATGGGTGTCAATAAGTTAACAGACAGACAATGTTGCACTTGCTGCGGCCAAAAAGTGCGGCCTCAGTCTTGGACTTGAACGTGGACTAGGAGTTGCAAGGAATGCACTCGAAGAAAATGTTATATTGATAATTAAGATGAAGCTAGAATTAAACAAGCTAATATAATATATTAGGAATATTTAATTAAGGAAATTATTAAAAGAAAACAATGTGAAAAAAGCAATAGATAGTTGTAGAACTATAACCTAAGAGTTTGTATTTAAATGATTAGCATAAGAGAACATGAACTCTTGAAAGATATACGAAGCAATTTTCATTATTTTTCTCTCTGCATTTGATCTTGGGGCTCAGACTTAGACTGAAGACCCCAAACCAGACCCAGACATTGCCTGCTTGCCGCAGAAATTATGAAATGCATTTAATTTTGTTGCACACTTTTTGTGCGGTCGGCAGATTCAGCTGCAGCCTCCGACTTCCCCCTGGTCTTTGGAAAATCTATAAAAATTCCATTGACCATAATTTAAGCCATTGGCCAGGGTCTTGGATCTTGCTCATGGTCTTGGTCTTGGTCTTGGCCGTGGAGCGGCTGTTTAAGGAAGCAAATGTTTCCGTGCAGCTGCCAACTGGTTGACAACTTGTGTGGACCTGTGTTTTATGTGCCAGCCGCTGGTGCAGTCGTCGGGTTTATATTGCAATCTGTCCGCAATCATGTCACATCGTTCTGCAACTGGTTCTGGCCAGGATCCCCCCTGTCTCCTGTCCCCATCGCCGCACCCATCCCCATTGCAATCCCAGCCTCATCTCGGTCTAATGAGCTTCGAGGGCGTCGCCTGCACTGAGGGCTTTCCATATAAAATGTTTATGGCAAATGGAACGGTCTTCTACCCATAAATCTCAAGTGAATGCCGGCCGAGGATGCATAAAACTTCTGGCATTAAGAGCCAGACGCCCGCGCTAAAGTCCAATGTCCAGGTCCCACAATCCACAATCGCTACTCCGGCAGGACATCAAAAGTTGCTCCTGGCTGG